GAGCCACAAAATCACATCTACAAGGACTTCGTAAAGCGATTCGTCAAGCAAATGCTTATCCATCAAAATCTACACTATCTTTTAGATTGTCAATGGAAATCTTGAACTCTGTCCCACTCACTTTCTGAACATCTTTAACCTGAGTATTGTAGAGCGTGAAATCTCTTTCTCTACTTGAACCCGACACACGCAACTTACATGTACCATGAATATCTTCCAAGCAAACAAAAACGGAATTCATTTGAACCAGCTACATATTGTTCAAGTAAAAAGTTAGTTCGGTTTTTTTTTATTGGTTTTTCAAAATATGATAACTTCGTGTACATTTGTCCGATCGTCAAATATAGGCCCTTTTGTTCGTAAACTCATTATATTACTCTCGTATAAGGCTGCGTCTCTATTGGCAAAAAACTCGGAAAGCCAATTTTCGCAGGCCTCTCTTTAGGCCAACTTCTCACCATTAATCGCGTTCGCCATGGAAAGGAAAAGATGGTAATCACTTGGTACATTAGGACCTCCCATCCGAGCTCCTGGAGCTTCTGGCGCCCCAAAGACGTGTGTGGCTTGGCGTTGTCCTGATCGAACACAATTCGGCCTCTGTTGATCAAAGATGGCCTCTTCTGGATGGGTGCTTCCTTCAAGCGGTCCAGGTGCTTGCGGTAGAGGGCCGAATTGAGCGTTTAGCTATAGGGGAGCAGTTCGTAGTAGATGATTCCTTGCCAATCCGTCCAAACACACAGCAAACCCTTCCCGGCCGTCAATCCAGTCTTGTCCACCGTCTGGGCCGCTTCCCCGAGCTTTGACCACAACCGTTTGCGCTCGATGTTGTCGTAAGTGACCCATTTTTCATAGCCAGTCCCAATCCGCTTCAGAAATGGGTCGATTTTGTTTCGATTCAGCAGCGATTCGCAATTGGAAATTCGGTTCATCGTGTATTTTTGTTTCAGTTCATGTGCGTGGTCCATCTTTGACGCGCGGTCACAACGTACTGAGCCAATCAATCGAAAAACTGTCAGGTACAAACTTTTAGCACGAATAAACACGTTTTCAGCGGCGTATAGCATGACATGATGGTACACGTAACACTAGAACTATGGACAAGAAATCATAGGTTCCTTCAAAGCTGGTAAGCTTACGAGAGGAAAGCTCTTGATTCGATATCACTGTCCATCTCTCATAAGTTCAACTACTCCTCCCTGGGCTTATACGATCGATAAATTCTTTTGGTCTGAGTGTTCAACTATATAGAGATATAGAAGACCGCCCTTCTTCACTTGCTAAATCACACCTTCGCTTTTCCCAGTTGCAGTTAGACTGAACTCTATTTGTAGGCCTTATCTGATTGCTTGTGGGGTGAATTCATTTCAGAACCTCCTTCCTGGCAGTTCTTCTTTTATGAGACTATGGAAGCAACCCAGTTCTCGCATTTTTAAAAACCATGGTGAATTATCGACTAATAAATTGGGTCGTTTTTGTTATCTAAATCGAACTTAGCACTTGAACAGTCACTTCCAACCTAACCTAAACCAAACCTAGGAAAACTAAAATCGAGAATACGAAAATTACGACAAAACGCAAATGCGCAGTATATTTTTTTAACACATACAGAGTTTCTTTCATGGGTGAAGAGAAGAAAATAAATAAAACACGATTATTATTATGCAATCAGCGCTTTGAATTCGAAATGATTCAGCACCTTTTCTCGAGTCTAATTTACCAGCGACAGCGACAGTCAGAACTCCAGGCTAATTCAAATGCAAAATATGAAAAGGCCAAAGTCATCAAATTTCAATGAATCCACGTCTTCGCACGCCAACAATCCAGTCATTGCCTCAATACAAATTGCAGGTGGGAAAAGATTTGACGAAAATCGAAGCATATTGCGGTGGTGTACTACGGCGCAAACTACGACTACAGGCCTTTAGAAATTCATTTGCAGGCATGTATGTATGTGTGTCTGTACATACGTGTATGTGGGGTGGAAGATATTCAAATGCCTGAAGTCAGCCCATTTTTCAGTAGCTACACCCTTGCCCCCTTCACATACCAACACAATGATGGATGATTGCAGTGTTTGAATGTGAATGTGAATATAATGGCCACGTGTATTGCGGAGCAGCTTTGTGGCACTGAGCAATCCTTTTTTTTTTTGTGGCTTTTATTAGGTGTAAATTTATGCAGAATTTCTAATGTCATCACTGTCGTGGAATAGCGATGAGAGAATATGACGACGAAACCAATCACGGATGCCGCAAAACACCTCCTTCTCAGCATTGGTTCTGAGAAATTCGGTTCTTTTTATTATGCTTTTTGCGTTTGCGTCCGAGACGGAAAAGGAGAAGGAGAAGGAGGAGAAAGCGCATGAAGATCTGCCTGAAGGGTTACTACTCGTGCCTTGTGTTTGCCATTATAATTTACTCAGGCACTCATCTTCCTTCGTTGCTTCTTCTGCCTTCATTTTCTTACGCGTTATTTATGCCAGGTTTTATTGCTGCACTTCCTGTCGGCATCTGTGGAAAATTTGTATGCTTCTCACACCATTTCTTCGAGGCACATTTAAAATTTGTGGCCTAACGCGTTTGCCACCTACAAAGGGAGACTTCTAAAATATTTATGCATCGCATACGCACATACATGCATACGGGCACATAGGTATGTACATATGTATGTATGTATGTATTTATGTCTGTAATGTTGTCCGGCAGTTTTTGGCATCTGTTGGTGTCATATTTTTTTAACCCTTTTTCCATCCTAAATTTTCGATTTTTTTTCGCGTTTTTTTTCTTATTTTACTGTTATCCTTGGCCTTCCTGTTCTTTATGTCTTACCATAACGACCGTAAAGTGGCAATTCTCTAACAATTTATGACGTAGGCGCTTCTGTGAGTAATTCGAATGTACAAAAACAAAAATTACACTCACTATATGTACATATATACGGACATACGTACGTACAGGCAATACAATTTGAAATTATACAATACAAAAAACTGCAGTAAAAGACTCAGTCGAGTTTATTTCCAAACCAAATAATTCTATTAAATTTAGAAATGTGAATGTGAAGAGATAAACATATATTTGTATCTAAAAGGTTGAAAATCAAGCTCATTGGTACCTTATTTCATTTAGCAACAACAACAATTTGGACGCTTCGCAAAAGTTGTGCCAAATCACGTATAGAAAACGCGATTTGTACTCACTGTCTCTCGATGCAGCAGAAAAATAGGCGTACCACGCTGAACATCGAAGAGCGCAGCACTTCTTATTCTATCCAGCAAGCCATACCGAGAGCACCTTTCATAGTTCCCTCGAAATCCAACGCAGAATCACTCTCGCCAACAAGTGCTACTTTGGACCGAGTAGGCAATTGAAATGTTAAGTCCTCTCCCGAATTCTGCAGCCGATATAAAGTTGAGCTGTATGAGTTATACGACGACATCGGCATAGCGGAGAGATAACGGCTACCGTGGATATGTCATGTGGTTCGAACGGCCAAAATTACGCCAGTATGGAAAGTTTTCGATGCAAGACCCGCCAGTGAAAGCCGCAGTTGGAAAGACCTGGTATGGAGAGATAACGGCTACCGTGGATATGTCATGTGGTTCGAACGGCCAAAATTACGCCAGTATCGAAAGTTTTCGATGCAAGACCCGCTGGTGAAAGCCGCCGTTGGAAAGACCTGGTAGAGAAGGACCTGGTTGTACTTGAGCCAAACAATCAAGGTCAACTAGGCGATCTCGTCACGCATCAAATATGGCCGACTGGTAACGGTAGTATCACTGGCCCTTCAATCCTACTATTACTTTTACTCTGATCGCAATAATTTAAGTTGAAGCAGGTTAGTGGTTATATGCACTTCTGATAAGTGGACCCACAATTCAACGTTCAATCCAGTAATGCTAGTTTTCGGCGGGAACATGTTTACATATGCGATAATCCTCGGCAGACTGTGGGATCCACTTTTTATGAATTGAAAAAAGAAAGCTCCGGACAAAGGATCGCCATATTTATTAGAATATCTTCGATGCGTTATAATACGTTCAAAAAATAAATCATCTACTACAGAGAGGTGAAGCAGCTTTATTTGAACTGAGTATGGGTGCCGAGACATAGTAACGTAGCGGCTAATGAAATGGCTGATGAGTTTGCAAGAACAATTCCCTTCCGCCGTCCTGAGAAAATTTTGATACGCCTCTTTCCACATGTAAGCTGACTTTAGGAAAGTTAAGTTGCAACGAATAGCGCTAATTGGAGAAGACTCAATTATTGCGATTTAACCATAATATCAGATAAGTTTTTCCAGTGCGACGTCTTTCGACGTTTTAACTTCTGTACTACACAAAATCCTTTAATATTGTGCAGTATATTGGTATCTAAGACACACTCTCATAATGGTTTTCAACCTATCTCATACACAAACCTCAATGACGAGCAGTGCTTCCAACCAGCACTGTTCTTATATGTTTCATCGAACAGCTGATTAAACTTATTGCATTTTTTCAATTGTTTCTCACTGATTTTGTATGCTAATTGAATAAATGGAAAAAAACCTTTTTATACATTTAAAAGCTCGAAGGATATGAATACACATGATTATATTCGAACAATTTTGAATTAAAATTCTAGGGCTTCTCAGCAGTCATCGAGTCTGAACGGATCTGTTAATCGCAGTAGTGCCCATTTCGATTACAAGTAATGTGTTGTTTATTTATTTTCTCATAATCGCACATCTGACATTGGCTATTTGATAAATAAAAAACGCAAAAATATAGTGCACATAATATACGACAATCAACAACAATAATGTGTTAATAAATCCAAAGTTATAGTATAAAATAAACATATGCGAAAGCAAAAAATTGAGCGTTATAAGTATTTTTCGTTCAAAACAGAACTCGAGTTGTGCAAGACGGCTATCAATGTATTAAAGACAAAGAAGGAAACAATATAATTTAATTAATAAGGCAAAGATAAAAGTGTCTACGAAGTCCTAGGAATATAATGCCGTTGAGACGTAAGAACAAAAAAATAGATCGACAGGTGTTAGTCGAAAACGAGGAATTACCACAGCCGAGTAATGTCATAGACAACAACTTTGGTGATAATACAAATGCAAATATATTTGCACGGAATGAGGATTCCAGCGATGATGACGATATCAAATTTTGTCCAGCGATATTACCAACAATGGATAACGAGCTGGACGTAGGACAAATAAGGAGTAATAGAGAAATATTAATGACAGATGCGCCACCTGATCATTATAACTATACCTATGCCGTCTTCTATCTGCTGGGTATCGCTACAATGACACCATGGAATTTCTTTGTAACAGCAGAAGATGTGAGTTTTTTTGGTGTTATAATAATACTGTGTTAGTGATAAAGTATTTAATGGAATATTATTGATAAAAATGTCTGGGACTATATTATGTACAGCAAAATTGTTGTAAATTATAATGTTATATCTGAGTTATTGTAAGTAATTAAACTTACAATTTTAATTTCCTTATTAGATATATTTTTCCTTATAACTAGTTTAAATCATATTATGCGTTTACCACGGGAATGATTAGCGTAATATTTCTTTACAATTCTTATAAAACTTAAACAAAAATCAACTGGATCCAACTTTTTTGTACTGGCTTCTCAGCGTACACAGCTTATCAGTTTCTAATTTTGTGTTTACAAGCGTATGTAGGTACGTAGGAATATTATTTATTCATTGCATGGATAAGCAAACAAATTTTGTAGTATACAATTACATATAGTATGCACGCTTATACATATATATGTATGTATGTGCGTAATATATGGAAGTGCCTTGACTTAATATTGCTTCATAAAGCTGATCTAGACAAACGATGGGTTTGGATATGACTCATTATGAGATAACGTTCTAGGCTTTGAATTTTGAACCTTAGTCCACACAATATATGCAAAATCCAAAAAATATATATAAATATATTTACTATTAATTTTGCTATAAAAAGATGTACATGAAAGCAGCGATATATGTAAAATACGAAGGAATAATTATATTATAAATATGTATTGTATGAATTATTTGTTAAAATTTAAAAAAATTAAATTATGATTAGAGACGCTTTTAAGATAGAGTAAAAAAAGAATAGATTCGAAATATTCTCTTACAACCAATACAATATACTCCTACAAACCAGCGACAAAAATTATTGATCATAAAACGATAGACGGCTCTACCCACCGGAGTTGTCCCCGTTTAGGTCATAAAAATAAATCTTATTTATCCCTGCGAGGTTGGAGCGCAAGAATTTGCCCGCAGTAGGACGTGTTTGCCATATGAGGAGACTAAAATCCCAATGTTTCTGCGACCAAGGACTGTCACCTACCTCCTTTGTGGAATATTTTTGCGGTAGAAAATAACGAAGTTACAACAAATAGCAAACCCGTTGAAACAGCTCGTTTTCTGGACCTCCTATCAGATGACCTCGGTAATTTGGACTAACTAGCCTATTCCTTTGCGGGGTTGATAATTGGCTACAACAAAAACAAACAACAACTTAAAAACATAACTGCATAATGTGGATCGTATTTTAACTGAAAACCTTTTATTACTAGTAATTACGATATTCATAAATTACAGTTATGCAAGTATTTATAAACAAAAAGTGTACACATATATATTAAGTGTAAGGTCAAAGTCAATGAAAAAATGTAAATGTCTCCAGGTTTTGGGGAGAACATTTATTCTTTATCATAAATATCGGTTTAAAAAATGTTGTTTTTGATCACGCAGTATATTTTTTTTTAATTGTAAAAATTTGTTTGAAAGTTATTAAGTTTTTTTTTTCTTCAATTAATTTTTTTTGATTTTAGGTAAATGAAATTTTTTTCAATTTACGGTGATTATTTTTTCAAGAAAATATACATTTGAAAGAAACGCAATTAAAGTTACTCGAACCTTTTGAAGCACCAGAGAGCTTTTTAATAGTTATAAAAAAAACTTGAAAATATTTCAAGAGTATTTTAATAAGACACAAAAAAAAATCCATTGACAACCCTTAAACCCTTTGAACATTTTGCAGGAAATATATTTTTCTTAAGACGAATTTTTACTTATCTTCCTACAGTACTGGATGTATAAATTCCGAAACACCACTATCAACGACACCACCAATATTACACCAGATCTAACGCCAATGCAAAAAAGCTTTACCTGTGATCTCACACTCGCTGCATCAATATCGGGCACAACATTTCTCATTCTGAATGCAATTTATGGACATCTCGTTTCGTTAAAAGTTAAAATGCTCTCCACGCTGTTCACCATTTTAGGCATTTTCATAATAACAACAAGTTTCGTAGAAGTCAATACCGATCACTGGCAAGAACAATTCTTTCTAATTACATTATTTACAGTCGTAATTATTAATAGTGAGTATGACTGGGAACCCCTTTGAGATAGTCTTTAGTAACCTAATTTTCACTTTTCAATTACAGTATGTTCGGCCACAATGTCGGGCGGTATATTTGGCGTTGCCGGACTCTTTCCATCACATTACATGACTGCCTTGGTGAGCGGTCAAGCCCTGGGCGGCATATTGTCGGCACTCGCATTTATTTTTGTGCTGGCATTTGGTGCTGCGCCTAATGTTACTGCTTTAATATATTTCATCATTGGCAGTATATTGATTTTGCTATCGATAATCTGTTATCTAATAATGTCACGTCGTCCATTTTTCAAATATTACATTGAGGGCGGCGATAAGTTTAAAATTTTGGCCGATACGCCTTCACATAGTCGTAGTGTTGATAGTGGCGTAGATCTGGAGCCGAATATCAAGGAGGTGTTTGGTAAAATTTTCGTTGAAGCGGTTAATATATGCCTACTTTTTGCCACGACACTCAGTGTGTATCCTGCGGTGACAGTGCTCATGCAATCGGAGTACTATGGCAAGGGATACGCGTGGAATGGTGAGTTGAGCTTTAGTAATAACAACGAATAGTTCATGTATGAACCATACATCTTTACAGATATTTACTACATGCCTGTGGTGAACTATTTATTCTTCAACTCGGGTGATTACTTTGGTCGTATATTGGCCGGTTTGTGGGAAATGGTTAGTTGAATTAGTGGAAAAATAAAAAAATTAAGTAAGAACTAATGACTACTTTTTGAAACCTCCTCAGCCACGCGATAATCCACATACGGTGCTTCTAATGACTGTGATACGTTTGCTCTACGTGCCGCTCTTCTTATGTGCAAATAGTAATGTACACATTTTTTTGCCCGTTCTCGTACATACCGATGTTACATTTATTTTAATGATAATTACATTTGGCATAACTAACGGTTATTTAGCGAATATCAGCTTAATAATGGCACCCAGGTAAGTACTGCATTTCATACATATACTAAAGCTTTAGAAAATTAAAAATCGAAATATTTCAGATCCGTCATGCGTCATGAAAAAGAAATGGCTTCATCCATTATGGCTGCGAGTCTAAGTTTGGGTCTGGCGTTAGGTTCCTTACTTAGTATGATTTTCGTACAAATGCTGTAATATTGAGTGTGCCGTTCACAAACCTAAGTGCCTTTTTTTGTACATTACACACTAGACATACATACATACATAGATTAGTTGACGAACAACGAGTTATATTTTAATCATGATATTATTTTAAGAAGGGGCGAAAAGCAGCCGTGCCAAAATTCAACTATTTTAAAATTTATTTTTTATTTAATAATATATTTTGTGCTATACAATAAGTCAAATTCTGCGCCAAATATTTCACTAAGCACGCTTTATTTTATATAAACATTTGTGCATTTGCCTAAAAATCGACTAAAATTTTTGTTCTCTGTCAGTTTTCGGCAATTTATACATATATTTATATATACATATATTTCGAAGATTTCTATTTAGTTATTTGGATGGGCTGGAATTATGATCGTTATTTAAGATAAAGTTATTAAAAGTGGCAATACATTTTAATGGATTAATATAAGTTTTATTCATAATTATACCATTTTATGTAATATATAAATCAATTTTGACTTATTTAAAACGACTAATAAAAAAATTGTCTTTTGACTAATAAAATCTTAAAACATATATGAGTTGCAGTTGATGTTTGTTGTTGTTGTTGTCGGTTTTTGTTATTAAGATAGCAGCCAGCTCTTTCCACAGTTCCGGGCAACACGCCCAGGTGTGTTAGATTAATTAGCTTGACGGTCAAGTAAAAGGTAGTTAGTGTCTTGCGAAGACTTATGGCATGTCCGTGTCCGGTAAAGATAAAAAAGAGTTTATTCCACTGGGATATTAGCATGCTAGGTAGCTGGATTTCTTCGGTGGCTAGATTCTGGTAACGATATTCACGAAAAGAGAAGCAGAATGTGTTTATTCAGTCTGGGGATGGGGTTTGAGGCGGTGTTGACCCGTGTTTTCAGCCTAGCCTTCCTAGGTGAAGAGCTGTCACTATAAGAACATCATAAGATTTAGCAAAAGGAAACTGCTACGGTAAATTTTTAAGGTTGCGATGACTAAGTATGATTCGCAGTAACACCCTACAACACCATCTTTCACATCTATGAGATCTACTTGTAAAATGCTACATAGATCTGTTTGTAGAGTATTGAGTCGTCTGTAAAGACTGCTATGGTTTTCTGACCCAGGACTGAAGCAGATACTGAAGACGGTCGGAATCCAGCTACTTTGTCTTGAGTTGCTTTCAAAGTGATTGTGTTGCAGTTTCTTTGTGGTTAGTCGTACAGGATTATATATATAATTGGCAATTTGTAACCGCTGAAGCGTCTTGATGTTTTTCCAACTACAGTTTATTTTAAGGCGCCTACGAACGACCGATGTTTTCTTATGAGTGGCTTTTGATTTTCATGTTAGAAATACACTCTGAGGTGTTGACATTATTAGTAGTTAAGAAAATGGTGAGTTAAGGATGAAGAATTTAGGAAGTTTTTTCTAGGTGGCACCAGCATCAAATTTATTTTTTATATTCCATTTATCCTTTTCTGTACGTAATAGCCGAATGTATTTCTGACTTAAAATAGAAAAGCTCCTCATATAAATCCATCGACCGTTCGAAGGGGGGCTTTGAATAAGCTGCAGATTCCTCCATCTGTTGGAGAAAGATTGGAGGAGGAGTTCGGTCGAAAATCGAATAAAAAGCGCAATTTATTATTATTATTATTATTATTATTATTATTATTATTATTATTATTATTATTATCATGTCTTCTTCTGCTTCCTCCTGTTTGTACTTCGTTGAAAACCTTCAAAGATGGTATGTTCTCAGCCATCCGAGCAACATAACCTAGCCAGCGTTGCTACTACCTCTTATTCGCTGAAATATGCCAATATTGTAGATTACTTTTTCTCGAAAACTTTTAGACCCGACTTTTCAGATCTACGGAAAATAGAACTATGTTGAGGACATCAATACCATTGGCAGAAGATTGTACCTTCTCCATTAAGCCTTGCAACTCATAATATTTTCTCCAGCAGTAAATTAAGGAAGACACACTATCAGGCACAGCGGCGTAGAGGCAGCTCCTATCTGTTGGTGGTCTGCATGAGCAGAGTTCCCAAAGTATGGTTCCGATACGTGACTCTGCAGACCATTTATGATTGACAACTGAATAAAAAATGGGATGGAGAGAAAGCACTCAACTGGAAAACATCCCAGGCTTCACATTGCGAAAAGGAGAAGCAGCTAACATATTAGACCATTTATCGGAAAAAATCTAGCCAATGACCAAACGCACAAAGGAAGTGATTTTGACTGTAGCATGAAATGAAACATTAAACTTTTCTTTACACACAATTTATTTATTGTTTTAGATTTAATTACTGTTAACAATTTTATGCGCTTAATTTGTTGGAAATTAATTTCGTACTTCTGTTCTAAATATAAACATAATATTTTCTAAATTATACATACATACATGTAGATATATAAGTAGGAGTTTATATAATATAATTTGGAGAATAATAATAATAGAAATATATTTATAAAGTGAAATTATGAAATATTTTAATAGATATTTTAGTAATATTTGAATAACATTTTATATACATACAAAATCAAAAAATATTTTTTCAGAAGAAAAGTTGAAAAAATTTACTGCTTAAATGAGCATACGAGCTTTACATATTAGACTATATTAATGATTACCTTAGAGCGCACATCATATGATTGATGAGAATTTTTAGTTTTTTGTATGTATGTAGTTAGTTTATTTAGTAAATATTTAGTAGAAATAATTGCTAAAGCTTTGCGTCTATAGTTCAAATCAGATTCTTTACGACTACATATATAGTAAGTATAACTACTATTGTAGACAATTTTTCGAATTTTCACTTCAACTGCTATGTACAAATACAGCAACAACATACATTTACAACACCGACTAACAATGATTTAATTTGAATTTAATTAATTTTTTATTTATTATGAATATTTTTGTTTTTAAACATAATTCCATGATTTGCTGGAATTTGAATTGCTCATTTAATATGCGCATTTGTTGCCTACTTTTTGGCGTCCTCCGTCATTTTCAACTGACTCAATTAATACGTGTTTTTTTTTTGTTTTCATTTTAACTCTGCTTTTATTGCTATTTTTCTATTGCCAATTAAAATATATAATATGTTTAACTGTAATTACTAAACATCAAACACACACTTAGACACCGATTTAAATTGTTTTGGCATTTAAATATACACACACAAAGGTATTTCTATGAACAAGTGACACGTAAAAGTTGCTATTTATTGGTGAAAAACAATGGCATACGTATTGCTATATATATTTGTATATATTCTATATAATCGATACGATCTATGATCGCGAATTGTTCATAAGAGTTAAGGTTAAAATGAAAATTTTCAAAAATCGCTTTGATAGTCGCCAATGTTCAAAAAATTCCGCTTTCAGTCTTTAATTTTTGTTTTCATACCTCACGCCTTTCTATCCTTTGGGATCCAATTATCAATTCTATAAAATTTTCAAAAAAAAATTTTTTTCTTGAAAACCGTTATATTTTTCTTCCTAATTCTTTCACTAAATCATCCACATTGCTTTTCACCAATTGCTAATTTTTTACGAAGATACGTACGTATGTATGTATGTAAATTTATTGTATTGTATTTACGTTTACACAGCAACAATAACGACAACACACAACAGCAATAATAATATTGACACAGATAATGATAACAAGAACAACAATAGAAATACACACATATAACATCGATATCTTGAACATCAAAATTTAAAGGCATTTTACATGACCCACAAATACTGAGTCCGAGTAAAACACATACACATACAAGTAGTATACACATATGTAAATAGAAGCGAATTACAACATCTAAGGTGGTTTGTCCGTCCAGAGAAAGATATCGAGTGAATCAACGGCGCCTAACAAAGCTCAGCCCATCGTTTGGTATTGATTGCTGGCTGTAGGGTGTCAGGTGTTGGGTGTTGTTCGGTGTTGAATCACTCTAGAAAATCAATCGTTTAAGAGTATCTACTTGCTCTTAAGTATATATGTTTACAGTTATACTTATTGATAATAATAATAATAATAATATTTGTAATAAATTTGTTTTATTTATTTATTTTTTTTTTTCATATTTTCGATTAGCCCCAAAATGATTTGATCTTACTTTCATCGTAGGAAGTTTGAGTTACGAGTATAAAATATGCCTAAATTAAAACTAAAAAGACTTTTTACTTTCATATATGTATGTATGTGTATATGGAAGTATGTCCAAATATATGTACTGCTTTTGAATCAACTTATATTCATAAGTTAAATATAGCGATACATACATCTATACATGAGTCCATATACAAGTATATCAGATATATTTCTCTGCCAATTCGTTCAATATTTGAAATCAGCCTTTTTATATTCAACAGAATTTTGACTAAACTCTTCTTCTTCTTTATTGGCGTTGGCACCGCCGAGTCATTATTAGCGCGCCGAGACATCGTATAGCTCACACAGCTCATCGTTCCATTTTTCTCTCGAAGACTCCAAGAGCCGACTCATCAGCTGCTGACAACGTCCACGCTTCGGCGCCACATAGCAGGACGGGAACGATGAAGACTTGTAGAGTTTGGTTGACAGGAGTTATTTCGCCTTGATGAAATTGGTTGTTAAACAAAATTAATTTAGGTCTAACACTAAGCAATTCGTTGTTTTTGCATTCAATTGAATATGCACCGTTTTGCTCGAAAACTTTTTGCCATTTTAAAGGTTATGTCCCTAAACCTCTCTTATAGAAACCCTCGCTTCTATTGGTAAAACGCGGGACAATCAGCAGCCAAATTAGTTACCATAGACAGGAGCATATATTAATCTCTTGGAGCGAGGTCCGGACTATAAGTTGTAAGCTGGGCAACTCTGTAAAATTGTTTCTTTCAGACGGTTCATTTGCTGATAGTATAGGCCCGAATTAAGAGTTTTTCCATGGAGAAGCAGCCCATACTGGATAATTCTTTAGCAATTCCACCAAACACACAACAAAGACTTCATGGCCGTCAATCCTGGCTTGGAGACTCTTTGTGCTGCCTCACTGTATTTCCATCATTACCGTTTTCATTTTTACATTGCTGTAAGTGATGCACTTTTCAGCACCAGTCACAATCCGCTTGTGAAATTAGTCGAATTTGGTGCTATTTCTCAGCAAATCGAAGATGGAAATTTGATTCATGAGGTTTTTACTCCTTAACTCATGTGGGACCCATATATCGAGCTTCTTTGTCGACCCAGCCTTTTTCAAGTGATTTCCAACTGTTTTTTTTTTTTCAGTTCCGCATAATGGTCAGACTCGACGATTTCTATTATTTTATCGAGATTTCCGACAATTGCTCTTCCACGCCGTGAAGCATCTTCCTTATCATTTTATCAAAACTACCGGAACGACATCGAGGAAACCAAAATTGTGCATGATTGGCTGTTACAGTATCAAGGTCATAGCGTTATTCACATTTTCAGCTGCCTGACTTACGTTTTCGCCCTTATCGAAGACAATTTG